CTGTTCGTACGTAACGCATTTCGAACATTGTCAAACTTTGTACATTAGACGCCGTACGTCGGAATATAACGCGATCCGCCAGACTTCGCGCGCGACCAGGCGCAAGAAATCCTATCTACGTAACGGCGCGATGTGCAATAAACGGCTTAGAGAAAGTTCGATCTTTTTAGCAATACCCCGCCGCGGGACCATCGACGCGACCACGACTCCGTCGGGAAACTTGGCCTCTCGTCGTGCAAACGTTCTCGTGCGAGCGTTACGTCGCTATAAAGTACAAGGCGAAGCGGGCCGAGGGAAAACGCGGTCTATAAATCGCAGGAAGATAAGTGTTTGCTAAGACTCACCGGATAATTCCGCTAAAGAGCGAGACGCCGGTTTTATGGTGCAGTAATCGTTCTTGCTAACTCGAGTCCGTGGCACGGCACCGGAATATCTGTAACATAATAACAAACGACGGCCTCCATAAACGGATATTCGCTTTGTAAATTTGTGAATAGTGTAGCTGAGCGCCGAAAACTGAGAGTCCGTAATAACTTAATATACCTATTCTCATAATCTCTTGTTTGAATTATATATTTCTCAGCAGAAAATATTTATCAACGCGCCTAATAGAGCGCGATGTACTTCAGTTGGCAGCTTTTTTTATTTCTTTTTTAATTTTTAAATCGTCGATAAATTATTTTAAACGAGTCAGCATTATTCAAAGCATAAACTAATAAAGATATAAACGGCAGAACATCATTCATGTTTGCCTAGTGAGAAACCACTGATACGTGTATTTTAAGATACTCTTGAGTAAGTATCTCAGATGGGGCGTGTTGGAGAGCGTTTGGCTTGCTCTTCCTCGATAGAGATAAGAGATATCGTTCGATAAAAAGGCTGGCGTGCTCTTAAGAGTAGAAGCATCTGTGTGAAATAAAGTCGGCACAAAAGTGCAGGTGTTGATAACGGATTAGCCGGCCAAATGTATCGACGCGAAACAATTAATAATAATGACTATGCTGTTTCAAGCCGATTTTTTAAAATTGAAAATCTATAATATTTGCTGCGAACGATAGAGTAGAAAATTGAAGGTTTTCAAAAATTTCTTCTCTCGACGATACTAAGTGATAGCCTGTTTATTTTCCATAAATTATTTTAATAAATAAAAAGAAACTAACGATATTGAGAAAGATAATATCGCGAAAGCTTAAAGCGCCTTTACTCGGCGAAAGTAAACAGTTTGCTATAAAAAATCAATTTAATGTACACTTAAAACGACGTCGCAAGCTTGCGAGTATCATTACGGCGAATAGATGAACATGTTCTTCTGCTGCATCGAAGAGATAAAAGCCAGCGGCACGAATCCAGGCGATTACATTGCGCATGGCGGTACGGTAGGCATTAATCGGATTTACCTCTTTGCTTTTGTTTTGGCGAAGGGATGAAGAATACAAACGTGTTGGTTTCGTCGAATACGTTTTCGAATAACGGCGGCACCGCCGAATATTTCGCGTCGCTGCACAAGCATTGGCTGCTTTTTTCCGGCTTGGCCGAGATCAGGCGACGAGGCGTGTTTGTTCCGTAAACTGACAAAATTCGTTACAACGACGGCCGGTACGACACGTAGCTCGAGCTCGGAAATTAATTCCACTGTCCATCGCCCGCCTGACCTCTTCACGTACGCTCCGCGGCCGTTCGTCTCTCGAGCGGACGCGCGCACGATCGTTCGCGTGTTTCGCATTGAAATACCGACGGCGTACGTTGTTTTAGCTCGTCCTCCGCACAGCCGCGCGATCCCCGCATTTTCTCGCCGATAGTGCCGGCGTTCGTTCGCTCGCACGAAAAAATATAGCGGGAATATTCTCGAACGATTCACCGTGCGATTTGCCTTTTATCCCATCGCGCGCTATCTGTCCCTTTCGATCGTTTTAAATCCCCGGCCCTCACCGCCATCCTTCTGCGACGCTAGCGTTCCGTTTTCTGTGCGAGGCATCGCAATTCACGCTCGATTTAACTGGCAAAACGAGTTTCTGCGAGCGAGCATTGTCACGACCTCCGAACGTTATAAAACCGCCTTCGGAGCTTGAGATCATCCGTCCGCTCGTCGTTTTCTCAGCTTTTCGTGTGGCGAGCTCAAAGATGTTCAAATCTGATTGAAAAGAGAAAATAAAAAGTAGGATACTGATGAGAAAGAAGCACGTAATTTCGCTCGAATGTTTTTACGTTGGTTGTCAAAGGCGGCGCGCTACGGTTCGTTGTTTCAACAATTCAGAGCCTCGGTATCTTAGCTCCTTTGTGAGAGAGAAAGCCACGGCTTTCGGGAAACCGTTGAGTACAATCTCAAACGTTTGTCGTCCCTCTCAATATCTACATAATCCGGCTTTGTCACGATAGTCATTCTTACTAGACGGTTCGTAAGTGACGTCGATCTTTGAGAAAGAAATCGCAGAAGAAAAATTGGTCCGTCTATTTTCTATTCGTCTATCCGCCGGTCTTCGTATCTCGCAGTAAATTTAAGCGAATACGAAAGAAAAGTGATTTTATTTACGTATGCATGCGACAGACTCGCGTAGACTCTCGGAGTCTTTCTACATATCCGGCGCCGTATGCAAATACATTTGGGAAGATTGCGACGGGATTTCCTCTGGACTTGACCGTGTAACGCAGCAGCATAAATTTCAGGAAAATGTATTCCGCGGTCTACGCGGTTGCTGAAGAGCATATTTGATATGGTAGCAAACGTCGTCGCGTTAACTTGGAACTATATTGTTATGTATGCCGATTAACACTTCTCTGTTATGAATTATAGGCTTCTTGTGTGTTTATGTTGAATGTTAGCAAACTTGTGCAAAAGTAATTTAATATTCTATATCCACGCTTTACTTCTTCCCCCTTAAATTAATATTAAATTCTTAACTTGAAAATAGCAATAAACTTTTTTTTTTAATTTTATTTTTGCTCCTTTATCCTTTTATTTTGATAGCCTCTTTTAAATATCACTTGACATTGAATCCGGTTTTTTTTTAAGTAATTTCTGATTTACTTATACAAAGAGAACAAGACTTCTAATTAACAATTAACGATCCGAGATTGAAAATAGGGAATATCAACCGGTCGGTGACGCGTTCAAGGTTGAGTGCAAGGCTTCGGACGCGGTAGCAATAATATGAATGCGCAGAGGCGCCAACTTGGCGCGAACTTGCTTGCTCGCTCGCCTCATTTTACTCACGCTTACACGCGTACGCGCGTTTTCCAGATACATTATCGTCGTAAGGCACAGCGTAACACACGGAGAATTGCGGAGAGAGGGAAAATGCGCCGATGCTTAAGCGCTTTTTATTACGTCTGTTACGAATGAGCGGCTCTATAATTGGCATCGAGCTCGCGTGAACGAAAGCGCGTGAGACGCGTACGTCGGTGTTTCGTGTTTTACTTTACAAACTAAGGATCAATTTTCTTTTTGCATCGTCGTTAAAGCCGATGCTTTCTTTAATAATAACCATGTCGCTTTACAAATTTCCGAGCGGAATGACTTGGAGCGTCATAATGGGCGCGGAAAACAATTCTGTCTACGCGATTTCGCGACTCACGGGCGACAAAGCAATCTGACGTCTTATTTCCGAGAGATAATTACACGACTGCAGAAAATCATTAAGCGCGATTCCCAACTTCAGCGATAACTTTCTATAATAATTCCCGTTTGTACTCATCTTTGTTCAGTTAATCGCCGTCTTTTTCACCGCTGAACAGGAACCAACGGCGAATAATTTAAAATTAACGGCTATTTAGGTATTCTCGTTCGCGAGTATCTCGGAACGCTTTTAACAACGAAAAGCGGAGATCGTTATTTATTCAGAATTACGAGGCACTCTAGGTTGGCATAACGCGCCGTTTCTATTCCAACGGTCGACGTATCGATATCGAGCTGTCAAATGCGCAACGAGATACATCGACCCGCGCAAACGTGGCCGGAGGCACGACTGGTCAAGATTAGAGATTATACGAGTGGGGGATACTGGAAAGATAGGCAAAATCCTGGCACCCCTATATCGTATCCTGCCTGTGTTCCGACATGAGCCGCTGATATCGGGACTTCGGTGTTCTGAAACTGTCAGGCGGGGAAATGATCGTCGCGCCAGCTAGATAGATTCATGAGAAACCACCGATGCATCTAGCTTAGAGCGCATCTTTGGGCAAAATAATACTTTTCTGTCCGAACAATTTCTTATTTCTTTTTTACGTCTCTTATCGAATCTCTTGAAAATAAGTAGAATTTTATAGTTATTTTTTACTTTGAGTCTAATGTATTCGATACATTAACAAAAGAATTTAGATCCATTTGACAACTGTTCGCTAAATGTTAATATTCTATTATCCGTACTTCACGCATTTAGAAAAGATCTAATTAAGGACACACAGACGCAGAATATTTCATCACTGTAGAATAGCGAATGATTTAACTTGAATCTTTTACAAGAAGTAGACTCGATCGACCACGCTGCAAATGTCGGCGAAATTTTAATTCGGATTTCGATACGTGAATAATCCATAATCTTCCATGACAATCGCATTTCACCAAAGCGGCGTAACGAATACATAATTGCATTTGATTGTCCCTTTTACGTTCAATGAGATTCCGCGAAATGGACAATTGAACGAAGTTAAGAGTCCCATCAATAAATAATCGATCCGAGCGTACAGTGGTTTCGTTTCCTGTACATTCTGCAGCGTCTCGCACTCGAATGATCTATCTGTCGCTATATATCTGTCTGTCGATCAATGATGCACAACCGGAAAGGAGTTTCGTCCCCGTTCGCATCCCCACCCCTTCGTTCGCCCTAACTTCCTCCGCTAAACCGTCTAGTCTTTGCGCTCGATCGGGTGGAAGCCAGTAGCTGTCGTCGAGGATAACCCCGGATCTTGCCGTTCGACCGTATTCATGCGCTAGACTACGGGCTCCCCTCGTCTTCGGCCAACTTGTTCCCTCCGTCTAACTTTGGCGTCGTTTACTGTTTCAGGTGACCGCTACCGATACGGGGCCGGAAGTCTCGTGCCTCGCAGCGGCCTCGTTCTGCCGGGCGGAAAACAAGAAGCCGGGCAAGAGCGTTTATCGACAAGTACCGACGATGAGCTAGCGGCACCAACATGCGTAAGATGAAGCAGCGCGTGCTGCACGCCTGGCCATGGTTATGGCTGTGGCTATTCGCAGCTACAGCCGGCTTTCCGTCTTCCGACACTTCCGCACCGACGACTCTTCTGCCGCCGCACGGAATCGAGGGAGGAGGAAGCGGTGGTGGTGGCGGTGGTGGCGGCGGCGGCGGCGGCGGGTCGATGAAGTCGTCGGTCTCGTCGATCGGCACCGCTACGACCCCGCCGACCTCCGAGGGTGACGCGGATCTCTCGTCCGAGCCCGAGTTTCGTTTCACTCAACCCTTGTACAACGTCTCCATTCCGGAGAATTCCATCGGCAAGACGTACGTCGTGCCCGGGGACAGGATGGGTATAAAACTCGCGTCCGCCGACAATGACGTTGACATTAAGTTCCGCATAGTGAGCGGTGATCGCGACAAGTTCTTTAAAGCGGAGGAGCTGACGGTCGGCGATTTTTGCTTCCTCCTAATTCGGACTCGAACCAGCAACGTCGACGTGTTGAATCGCGAGCGCAAAGACCGGTACGTGCTCGAGGTGAGCGCCACTTTGAGCAGGCGCGATGCTAGGAACAGAGTGATCACGCTCGAGGCGGGCGCCACGGTGGTAGTGACGATCCTCGACACGAACGATCTCAATCCGCTGTTCTATCCGATCGAGTACGAGACCACGGTAACGGAGGACACGCCTTTGCATCGTAGCATACTCAGGGTAATCGCCGAGGACGCCGATCTCGGCAGGAACGGCGAGATTTATTATAGTTTTGCCGAGGAGACCGATCAGTTTGCCGTTCATCCAGTCAGCGGCGTAATAACGCTCACGAGACCGCTCAGGTGAGTGCGATATACGAAACATTTCGTTTCATTATTTCGAATTGAAATTAATCGGCGGAAAAAACTTGGACACTGATTCGAACAAATTGCTTAATTGAATCGCTCGAACAATTGAACGTTTGAGCGCTTCACATTTCAATAGTTTGTATAATTTGAGCAGATGGTCAAATTGTTAAATCGATTTATAATATGTGTCAATTCTATTATTGAAATAATTGAGAAAAAGGAAAGTTCAGTTATAATTCAGTTATAATTAAGAAAAAAGAGATAAACTTAAAATAGATTGTAGAAAAATGCAAAAGTATTTGCAAAATAACCAGCTTTTGTTCCCTTTTTAAACATACATTATTTAAATTTATTTCGCTTTTTACATAAATTTAAATTCAAATTTTTAACTATATTTTGAAGTTCGAAAGAATGGAACAATTATCATATATATTAATTTTTGATTAATTTTATGTCAACGAAATAACAGTTCCATTTTATTCTCTGCTTTTTTTATAAAAATATGTTGCAAAATTTATCATGTACGCCGAGAGCATGCATTTTTATTTCTATACATATTATGTTGTTTACAGAGCATTTGCATAATAGTCTCTCTTTTTCTTTTCCTCCATAGTTAAGTTATTAATAGAACTGTCGTGTGTGGTTAGCAAACAATTGGCTTTCTCCATTAGGTACGCGGAACGCGCCATACACGAGCTGGTAGTCTTAGCGAAGGATCGCGGCGTCCTGTTTCGTAGCGTGGGCACCAGCCACGCGAGCACCGCGAGGGTCACGATCAGGGTGCAGCAAGTGAACCTGTACGCGCCCGAGATGGAGGTAAATTCGTTTCCCGAGAATTCAATCGTCGAGAATTCAAATGCCGATATTTACGCGGTCGTGAAAGTGACGGATCGTGACGAGGGCGTGCACGGTCAAATCGCGAGCCTCGACATCGTGGGCGGCGATCCGTCCGGCCATTTCAGGGTGCGTTCGGGCTCCGTGCCGAAGGAGTACAACATCGAGGTGTTACACCTGCTTGATCGCGAGACCGCGGTGCAGGGTTACAATCTCACCCTGCGCGCCATGGATCGCGGAGTGCCGCAGCGTTACAGCTACAAATTCGTTTCGGTGCATTTAACCGACGTGAACGACAACGCGCCGGTGTTCAGCCGCGAGATCTACGAGGTGAAGGTGCCGGAAACGGCACCCGTTAACACGCCGATCATAAGACTGAAAGTGACGGACGCGGACGAGGGGAAGAACGCGCTGGTGTATCTCGAGATAGTAGGCGGCAACGAGGGTGGCGAGTTCTACGTGAACGCCGACACCGGCATGCTGTACACAGCCGTGAATCTGGACGCGGAGAAGAAGGCGTTCTACACGCTCACGGTATCGGCGATCGATCAGGGTAACGCCGGCACTAGAAAGCAATCTTCGGCCAAGGTGAAGATCAACGTGGTCGACACTAACGACAACGATCCGACTTTCGATCAACCGGAAATGGAGGTGTGGTTAGACGAGAACGAGCCGGCCGGCACGTCAGTCGTGCGAGTGACCGCGAAGGATCGCGACTCCGGCGAGAACGCCTACATATCGTACAGCATCGACAACCTGAAGAAAGTACCGTTCGAGATCGATCACTTCTCCGGCATCGTCAAGACCAAACAGGTGCTTGATTACGAGACCATGAAGCGGGAGTATCTGCTGCACGTGCGAGCCAGCGACTGGGGCCTGCCCTATCGCCGTCAGGCGGAGATGCAATTGCGGGTGAGACTGCGTGACGTGAACGACAATCGACCGCAGTTTGAACGGATCGACTGCACCGGTCACGTGCCGCGATACGTGTCGATCGGCTCCGAGATCATCACCGTGTCCGCGATCGACTTCGACGCCGGGAACATCATCAGTTACCGCATAGTGTCCGGCAATTCCGACGGCTGCTTCGCTCTCGACTCGGCTAGCGGCGTTCTCTCCGTCGCCTGCGACCTGTCGGACGTCAAGGTCAGCGAGAGGACTGTCAACGTTACCGCCACCGACGGCACGCACTTCGCCGACGTCAATCCCGTGCACATGCATCTCGTAAACGCCAAACGGAATCTGGGCTCGCAGGCGAGAATCTTGTCGGACGAGGCCGGTGCTTTCGAGTGTCACGAAACCGGCGTGGCGCGCCGACTGACGGACGCGATCGCCTCCGCCGAGAGGAACAACATGCCGTCGCGGGACGACGAGTACACCATGATACCGAGTCGTTATGGCGAGAACATACACGCGCCGGAATTTATCGATTTTCCGAGCGAGATACGCGTCAACGAGTCGCTCAAGCTCGGCACGACCCTCGTGCGAATACGCGCCCGCGATCGCGATTTAGATTACAACGGCAAGCTCGTCTTCGTCATCTCCAGCGGCGATCGCGACTCCGTATTCGGCATCGATCCGGACACCGGCGATCTCAACACAATCGGTTACCTGGATCGCGAGCGCGAGAACGAGTATTTTCTAAACATCAGCGTGTACGATCTGGGCAAGCCGCAGAAATCCTCCTCGAAGATGCTGCCGGTCACCATCCTCGACGTCAACGACAACGCGCCCAAGTTCGAGAAGTCCTTGGCGAGCTTCCGGATCTCCGAGACTGCTTTAAACGGCACCAACGTGTGGCGCGCCAACGCCACCGACGCCGATCTCGGCGAGAATGCGCGCGTCACCTACTCCCTCGTGACGGAAACCAACGATTTTCGCGTGGATCCCGTGACGGGTGTGCTCAGTGTTTTTGGCAAGCTCGACAGAGAACGGCAAGAGATATACGAGCTGAGAATTCGCGCACGTGACAACGGCGGCAAGAGTGCCGACGCCACGCCCTTGTATTCCGACGCGCTCGTCAGAGTGACGGTCGACGACGTCAACGACAATGCGCCTACCTTCGCGCTGTCGAGTTACAACGTTAAGATTCGCGAGGACGTGCCGGTGTGGACCGTCGTGGCCGTTGTGGACGCCACCGATCCCGACGAAGGCGCGGGCGGCGACGTGGAGTACTTTTTGACGGACGCCATGGAGAGCGAGGGCTACTTCAAGGTCGACAAAGTGTCGGGCACAGTGAGAACGACTCAAAGTTTAGATTTCGAGGAACGGCAAGTGCACACGTTGACGATAGTCGCGCGCGATCGCGGTGATCCGTCTTTGTCTTCCGAGACGATGCTCATAATCGAAGTGATTGACGTGAATGAAAATCTGCATCCACCGGTCTTCGATAACTTTGTCGTGTCCGCGAGTGTCTTCGAGAATCAAGCGATCGGCACCCTCGTCACTACAGTTCGAGCGAAGGACGCGGATCCACCCGGCGGAGATTCCAGGATCGGATACAGCATTCGAGGAGGCGACGGCATCGGGATCTTTTCCATCGACAATGAAGGTAAGTTTAAATTAATTGCACTATTAAAAAATTTATTATTTACAAAAATTCGCCGATGAAATGTATTATAATCCAACGATAAAAATTTACATCGAAAGATCGAGATACAATTAGAATCTTTCGCGTTGAGAAAAAGGAAAGAAATACGAAAACATTTGTAGAAAGGATAAAATTGGAGTAAAAATTGAGAAATCGAAGGAAATTTCGTGGAGCACGTTATTGAATTTTAATCGATACCGGTGCACTATTCGGCAATAACTTCTACGCCTACACGCTCCGTAAATCGACGCGCTCATATTGAATTCAAGAATTTCCAATCAAATATCGCAAGATGTGCGCTTCCTTTGAATAGAGGACCGAAAGGAGTATCAGGATCTCACCAAGATTTCTCAATATCGCGTTCAATAAGCAGAGAATGAAGTCCCCGGGTGACGAGTTAAACACATTCGACCTCGCAGAAGCGATTTCAATTTACTCGTCACACAACGGTCGCGCGTATGCTAGAGTTCATAAATGTCTTCTTGGTTAATAGATAAATACTTTTCGACAAAATGTACGTGTCGTGTCTACATATTCATAAATCACATATTTCTATTTCGATAAATAAGAAACCAAGTAATAAACTGAGAAGTAGCATTTGACATGTGTCGTAACTCAAACTCATAAGGTTATAAGCGGATATATATAAGGGTTACGCCACGCTAAATAATTCACTAGAAAAAAAAAATTCAATTTCTCTTATTTTATAAATTTAATTTACACTTTTCATGCGATTTTTAGATTTCAACATAACTATACGAACGTTTTTTTTTTGAAAAGAAATTATTTACTCGTGCGAAAACACTCATGGTGCTCAGTGCACGCGCACAGAGAGTGTTCATTTTTTTTCTCTATTTCTGTTTCGGGTACTTGTGCTGCTCCTTTGCGCACAAAAGGGCGCCCAAACATGCACGCCGTGCCCTTTCTGCATCGGACACGGCCCCGCGCCCGCGCCGTGGCACCGATCCAAAGCGAAGTTGCAGCGTCGCGGCCCATTAAATTTCGATGCAGCGAGTCTAATTGAATTACGGTGCCGCAGGACCCCCTTTTTTCGAGTGCGCGAGGCGCATTAAATTTCTCCGGCAGTCTCCTTTCACCGCGGAAACGTCTCTCGAGAAATCGCACGTCATTCCGCTTAATGGCTAATTCCTGTGTACCGGTGCCACGTCGGTCATGGCGCACGGTCATAATGCACCAAGGATCGTTTCTTGATGAATGCATCGGGCGAAACGAAAGTCTCGGGACGAAATAGATTGTTCGCTAATTTGTGAAACTCGCGCAAATGCCCTCGCGATATTTTCTGACACACTTGCGCTAGACAACGCTAATCTATCTTTTAATGTATCTAAGAATTTGTTAATATCGCTCGCGCATGTACATTTCAGATTTCTTTCTCTCGTGTGTTTCTAAACGATCAGTATTCATGGCACGATACAATTATCCTGCCGATTGTAAATCGCGATGGTTGTCGTTTCTCGGTTTCTACAGCCGTACATTTCGCACGGCTATAAAAACGTGGCGGTGTACGTTAAAAAAATATAGTGCTCATCGCCGTTGCTCCAGTCACGTTCAACGAGTTTTCATCGTTCCCTGAAACAGAATACAATCACATGCACTGCATGTTGTCGTAAATAGTTTTGTGTATGCGTATGCATGCGTTGCGCCCGCGTACGTGTTCATAAACTTGACGTATGGATGTATAGGGTGCTGTTCTGGTTTCCATTGAAAGTTTCAATAATAAATTTCCTTGCCGCAATGGAAATCTGTCTTAGTAAAAGTTTCATACAAGTCACTATTTGTTGTATTTTTATTTTTCAACACGGTGAAGGCTTTAAATTAAAATGGCTTTTATCAAACCCAAGTTATTTTAAAATATGACGCATACAAATCTTTCCGCGTCAATTTTCATCACAACAAAGTTCTGCTCTATATTTTTATTCTTCGTAAGAAAATTTGTTATTTACGAGAAATCTATATTGATGCAGTGGGATTTGGACACCCCGTATGTGAACGCGTTCCCGTTGTACATTTTTGCTTCCGCGTATATATGTCGCTCGGTAGTATATTGATCTCCCGTCGAGCAAAAATAATACATTGTCAGTAGTATGCATATTCAGCCGGCGTAAATATTCATAAGTCGCCGGTGTATTGCCTCGGTGTCAGAAGCACGAACGGTAACGTCGCCGATGCCGATGGGAGTTGTGGTGCGGTGATAATGGCAGTGATGGCGGCCGTAGTGGTGGCGGCGGTGGTGCTAGTAATGCCGGCGATAGCTGTGACGCCGCTCGTTTAAGTCGCGAATAATTTCCCGGCGTATACTTAGGATCTATGGCAGGCGCGTGATATCGTTCACGCGCAAGTCAATGTTTCTCGTGTCGCGCGAGGAAGCTATTCCCTCTCGAGGATCGAAGAGTGACGCGTGTTCTCGCAAGAAACTAAAAAAAAAAAAAACGAATCTTCTATCGTTTATCGAATCGGTCACCTTTATATATCTCTATTAAAGGATTATTGATCTCTACATTTCCCGTATTATATCGTTGCATTTTGTACAACAGGGCTTCTAATTTCCACGATGGCGGTATTTTGCGAGAATATGTAACCCCTCTCTCCGTGGAAACAATATATTCTCGTTGACGCAATTTGCGATGAAACGAAGCGCAGCTTGACGCGGCCTGACTAAACGTGATTAAGCTCTGATCGTTGTAGAAAAGTGCCACACCTAGTTGGCGAAGCAGCCGACGCGCCGGGCGACGCGTTTTCCGGTAAGCTAGCTAACGCGTTACTCCAGCCGGGCTCTGTCCACTCTGCTAGCCGTGGGCATTGCGGCGGCGAGCGTTAGTCCATTAATAAAGCTTTATATATCAACGAGCGTCCCGAAAGCTCGCCCGAGTTTGATCGTGCGCAAAACGAAGGAAAACTCGCGACGACTCGGCCATGTAGTTTAAAGCGGATGGATCGGTATTTTGGAAGTGGTTGAACCTTCCTGTTCCCCCCCCCCTCCCTCCTCTCTCTCTCTCTCTCTCT